CAGATTTAAATTATTTATAGAAATTTTTTTTGAGAAAATCAATCCAGAGTTGGAAAATAACGCTCAAATACACAAGCGACATGACATAAAAAATTTGATCGAATCCAAAAGATGCAACCTTAAATTCTTACCGCATTATTCTCCAATACTAAATCCAATTGAAAATGCATTTTCAAAAATAAAAGTATGTGCAAGAGCTGAGCTGTGTGACGTTTCAATGAAACATCGCATTGTTGATGTAATCGAGCGAAGTATTCAAAAGCTTACTCGGCAAAATAATTCTAACTACGTTATGGACATGATTTTGAAAATCCCACAAGCTGCAAGCCGGGAACCCCTTCATTAAGATAAGCAGTTACCTTATCATCAACAATTTATTAAGTCAAATATGTATTTCGCATTTAGGACCGGGTATTCAATTCTTGTTCTTAAATATTTATTTATTAAAATGTCAAGAAATACCCCAGTTTGTATTACTATTTATTTAGTTTTATGTAGTAAAGATATTAAATGAAATCACACCGAATTAAAGAATATTTATGTTAATTACATAGCCATACAACTATAGTTGTTAATATTCTTTGATTTAATTTTCAAATATTGGTTTAAAATTACTGCAAATATTATATTTCCTTAGAGAAGGATAAAGGTTTCATTTAATTTGGAAAAAGTTTCATTCTATTTGTAAAAGGTTTCATTTCAATTGGAAAAGGTTTCATTCTATTTGTAAAAGGTTTCATTTCAATTGGAAAAGGTTTCATTTAATTTGGAAAAGGGTTCATTTAATTTGGAAAAGGTTTCATTTAATTTGGAAAAGGGTTCATTTAATTTGTAAAAGGTTTCATTTAATGTGGAAATGCTATATTAAAATGTCAATAAATACCCCAGTTTGTATTACTATTTATTTAGTTTTATTTAGTAAAGATATTAAATGAAATCACACCGAATTAAAGAATATTTATGTTAATTACATAGCCATACAACTATATTTGTTAATATTCTTTGATTTAATTTTCAAATATTGGTTTAAAATTAGTGCAAATATTATATTTCCTTAGATAAGAATAAAGGTTTCATTTAATTTGGAAAAAGTTTCATTTTATTTGTAAAAGGTTTCATTTCAATTGGAAAAGGTTTCATTCTATTTGTAAAAGGTTTCATTTCAAGTGGAAAAGGTTTCATTTAATTTGGAAAAGGTTTCATTTAATTTGGAAAAGGGTTCATTTAATTTGGAAAAGGGTTCATTTAATTTGTAAAAGGTTTCATTTAATGTGGAAATGCTATATATAAGGTTAATTATCGAACCTTATGTTCTAGTTTTTTTGTATTTCCGCAGATGAAATGATTACAACAGAGTTTTAGAATCAAACCAAAACACGGAACAAATTATATAACTATTTTAATATAAGAAAGGGGGGCGACCCAAAAAAGGGGCGAATAGTAAATATTTTTGATAGGGAGATTTGCTACCATATACGACTACAAAATACCAAATTACAGCGAATTCGTTTGAAAAACGCGCTCAAAAACCCCAAAATACCGAAAATTGGGGGTACCCTTATATGGGGGCTATCCGAAAAAAAATTGACCTATATTTATAATTTTTTGTGGAGATATTTGTTACCTATTAAGAACTCAAAATACTAAATTACAGCCAATTCGGTGGGAAAGTACGATCAAAACTCTCAAAATATTGAAAATTAGGAAGTACCGTTAAATGGGGGCTACCAGAAAAAGTGGATCTATATTTATAATTTTTTGTGGAGACATTTAGTACCCAATAAGAACCCAATGTACCAAATTTCAGTGTATTCGGTTGAAAAACGCGCTCAAGATCCCCAAAATACCGAAAATTTGGGGGGGGGGGTACTGTTATATGGGAGCTATGCCTAAACGGGGACCGATATATCCCATTATCGAACTTGACCTGCCTGTAGACAAAAGACAAACCTGTGCAAAATTTCAGCACCCTATCTCAATTTCTTCAGAAGATAGTGTGATTACAACAGACGGACGGACATGGCTAGATCGTCTTGGAATTTTGCCCTGATCAAAAATTAATTTCAGCCGAGCACGGCTAGGGCTCGAACCTAGGTCCTTGGAGCAACACAAATGTTGCCAGACCACTTAAAGTTCTTAACCATCAACACACTTCCAAAACGGTTGCGCAAAAACATGTGTATACCATGGAAGCAATTGTAGGTGTGTGGATTAATTATCCATCGCTACAACAAAAATCTGCTTTAAAAAGGACTGTTCCTAAAATGAAGACAAATGTCGAACTTTGACAAATTTGAATTTAATTCGCATATGCAAGTTTCGCATCAGGGCGGAATAAATACAAGTTATCAACGTACGACCTTTGTAAAGCCACAAAGCCCAATATGCCTGATGAGCCACTTAACCAACGGCAAAACGCGTCACATAATGGTCGGTACGTAGGTTTTTCTCCTGGCTTTCCTTTTCATTGCAAAACTTAAATCATCAAGCTCGACTCGAAAGAGTATAAATAATCACTTAAAAAACCTGATCAAGAATATATATACTTTATAGGATCGGAAATGAATATTTCGATGAGTTACAAACGGAATGACAAAATTAATATACCCTCCATACTATAGTGGAAGGTATAAAAATAATAAATAAATAATATTTAGATAATTACAAATATTAAAAATTTTTAAACAATAACAATTTTAAATATATTAAAATGTTAAATATTAATTATTATAAAAGAGTAAGAAATAAAAAAAATAAATAATAAAAATGTTAGATATTAAAATAAGTCAAAATATTAAATATTGAAATATATTAAAAGTAATATGTATTTAAGGGGACCCCCCATTCTCGGGGTCAAAATTTTTGTTGATATAATTCGAATCTACACTGATTAAAGAATGTCTCTACAAAATTTCAAGTGAAAATCTCAAGAACTCTTGAAGATATAGCCGATTTATTGTGTCAGCATCCACTGACGGCTGAAGGGCTTCTCAAACTTTAAACGCGTTTTTCTCTAAACATTTTTTTGCGAATGGCGGGCACGATAACTCAAAAACTAATAATCCAATCGGTTCCAAATTTTGCAACGTTTCTCTGGGAGTGTATAGGTCTCGTATGAACTAGGATAAAGCCAATCGGTGAAGATCTTCCTTATTTTTTAACTTGGTTTTTGGTAAAAAATCGGTGATTTTCCAAAAATATTGTTTCAAAGGTCCACCATTTTGTTAATTTTAGAGCGAAGTCAATAATCCTAGTTCATACGAGAGCCAGACATGTACTCTTTCTAACACCGTTGGAATTTTCGGATTCCGATGATCCAGTGAGGAGTTATCATGCCCGCCATCAAAAATAAGGACTTTTCTTTAATTACAAAAAACAACAACAAAACAATAACAAAATTTTTTTGTAAATTATTTTTCTTCTCTTTTAAATCTTCAATTATATATGTGCAAAGTTACAAACCTTAACATGCATTTGTATTCATTTACCAGCCCATTGAAAATCTTGAAAAATTAAAATCGAGAATGGGGGGGTTCCCTTAAAATAAATAAAATTGAAATATTTAATATTAAAGTTATTATATATTAAATATTAAAATTTAAAATAGTCAAGATTTTAAATATATAATACTTTAAATATTACAATTATTTAATATTTTTTTTTCATTTATCTAATAAGTTTTGAAAATTTTTTCCTATTTTAAATATTCTACCAAAATTATTTTTTTTAATTTCAAAATAATATTTCCATTGTGTGCCTTTCAAATCCCCCTTTTGGATAATATAATCATTTGACTTTAAATTGAAAATCTCACTTCCTTGCTTCCTTTGCCGCGTGGCAGCAGGGCAGCAGCAATTACCAAAACTGTTGCACATTTCCCTTTTCTCTATAGTTTTTCATTCTTGTTCTACAAAGCAAAGTAATAAAGTTTTTCCTTTTCGGGGGAAAATGCAACAGCAAAAACAACAACGACAAACAAAAACTACAAACAATTGCTTAAAGATTACCGTCCAAAAAGTTTCAAGTTTGCCTAAGTTAAAAGCAGTCCGTTAATAAAATTTTTATCCTGGCATGGAATTCGAGGGGTTTGTTGGTGGAGGGAGTGGGTGGTTGGTTGGTAGAACTAGGACCATGCGATATTATCATAACTTGCATAGTCAAGAACAAAACGAACGAAATTGTTGTTTTATTTTTGTAACTGTAGCCCCCCACCCAACAAACAGAAAAGGTAGAAAATATTTGGAATTGCAAAGTGCAGTTGTACACACAAATGAAACAAAAAGCACAACAGCAACAACAACAATGGTAGCAAATAATGTCAGGAATTCTAAAAGCGCCAGACGAAATTTTTGCAAAAAAGAAAAAAAATAGGAACAGAAAATGCTGCACATTTTCAGGCGAAAATAACAAACAATTTTGCTATGGTTATTGTTGTTGTTTGTTTTTTTGTGTACAGTTCCTGTATAGTTGTTTGTAATTTCCAAAATGGCTAACACTGAAGAACATTGTTGTTGTTGTTTGGTTGTCTAGCTGTGTAATCTAAGCCCCACCAGACTGGCGTCTTTTGGCGAAGGAGTGAAAAGTTGCATTAAAGTTCACTTAAGAAAATTACATTCTTGCCAGATAATAATTCTAACGCGTTTGTTATCCTGCTTCTCGTGCCACTGGCTTGGATGGCTGGCTGCCTGGCTTGCTGTTGTTTTGGCAACGGATATAGCCCGCGCTGTTTGGCTTATTATATTTGGCAAGAATAATGTGTCTGAAAAGGCATTAAAATATCCTTTTGTTTTTCCGCAGATAGATTTTTTTTTAAAAAAAAAAAAAAAAAAAAAAAAAAATAGAAAACAGAATTAATAAAAAAAATTTTCTTCTTCTTCTCCTTACAGTGCTATTTATTGTATATCCAAAAAACTCCGGATATTTGTGACTTCTTGGGTTTAAAGCAACCCTCCTCCTCCTCATCGGCGTCCACAACCACGACAACAGTTCGACCCCATACAACTACCTCAAAACCAAATGATCAACCCAATTATCCCAGTGAAAATACGGCGGGTAAACATCCTGCTGAAAAGACAGGGTCCATTGGAGGTAAGCTCATTTCAATTATTGGCCAAAGAAAATAGCTTAAAGCTTTAATTAAAACGATGGTGCTTTGTGCTTTCTGTTTGTCTTTTTCGCAGTCATTTTAGCGTCCATATTGTCGGTTACATTTGTTGTGGCCTGCCTGGGTATGTTTGCCTTTTCACCGGAACGCCGTAATATGGTGAGACGTCTGTTTAATAGATCCAGCTCAGCTGTAAGATATAGACGAGTAAGTAGTAGTTGGCATGGACAAATTTTCTGCCTTTGGCATATTTAGACATTATAATCATTATCGTTATCATCATCTTCGCTGCCGTTTTGTTATTCTTTCATTTAATGAATTTTTTCGCTCTTCTCCTTCTCTTCCCCCCGCCCTCCACCAAAAAGGTAAACAATAGCGAAGAAGGTAATTTGCTGTTAAATCCTAATGGAGAATTTACCGAATCCGATGATGAAGATATGCTGCTCTAAAGAAAGCCAAAAACTTTGCCACTACTCTTAACAATGATGATGATGATGCGATACCGCTGATGATGGAAAAGGGAAGACAAAACTTCTTCTAAGGATCTATGTAAATTTGGATATTTTATAAAAGACAACAACGTATATTTTTCTAACCCATTTTTTTAAAAACGTATTTGCAGAGAAAAAAAGTATTGAGCTTAACAATTTTTCTAAAATAATATTTATGTAAAATGTATAAATATTGTATGTATATGTATAAAAATATAGCCTATAAAATTTATACCAGCCTAATGCAGTGTAGATCATGGAATGCTAAAAAAATGAAAATTCCAGACAGGTCGAATGTATACAAAGACTATAAAAAATTAACAAAAAATGAAACACCAAAGATCTATACAGGTGTTACAAAATATAGTGGTGAAAAAATATTTTTTTTATTAAAAAATTTATGAATAAATTGTAAGACCGGTATATTAATTTCTGAAAATGTTCTGATTTTGCTTATGAAAAAATAATAATAATTAAATTAAATATTATTAAATTGAATATTATATTAATAATCATTGATAAAATGTTCTTCTCTTAAAATTCTATGATAACATTTTGCCCAGAAAAATGCATTTCTGAATATTTCTGATATTGTCAAAGAAAAAACAAAATAATAATTTATATTATTATTTATAAAAAATTAAATAAATTCAATAAATAAAAAAATAATAAATAATAAAATTTAGTAAATAATATTAATAATTATTAATAAAATTTTGTCCTCTTAAAAGTCAATGATACATTTTATTTCCAGTCGATTTCTAAAATTATTTTATTTCGCCACTATTTTTGTGACACCCTGTGTTCAAACAAATTAACAACAAAACAAAAAAAGGCATACCAAAATGTACAAGAAAAAATTAACCCATAAACTGCGTATATGAATGTATGTCATGTCACCAACCTACCTACTACAAATCTACCTTAATCTATAACAGTTAACTTATCAACATATAACGACCATTTTCATTGTTGTATTTTTTTTGTTTTGGAAATTTTCAAACAATGAAATTTATAATGAACAATGATTTATTATTTTTATTTTTGCAAAACACAAACACAATTTTTGATAACGGGCCTATAAACAAATGCCCACAACAAAAAACGACCAAATTTTTTTAAAGAAAAGTATTTTTATTTGCACTTAAATATATTCCTGAAATTATAGTATTTTCATTTCAATATTTGTTTACATTTTTTATTTATTTTAGAAATTGAATTTATTGAATTCCTTAAAAAATGTATTTCATCTCAATATTATATTGTATTATTTCAAAGAGTCTGGTTATGTTGTGATAGTTTCAACATTTTTAATTATAATAGCAATTTTGAATATGGCCCTAATGTACTTAATTAATGCATAATATATGTATGTAATATTAATATATATTTTTTAATAATAACATGAATTGATATGAAAAAACAAACTGTTTTATTTTAATAACAAACTGCGATTACGTCGGATGTGACTGGCGAAACACGTCGTATAACGGTGGGAATGTAGTATTTCCCTCTTCATTGCAACTTCGATCATGTAATTCATCTCGAAACCCTAAAATGTCGGGATAGGAATATATCTCGAGCACATATAGCCTTGTGGATTGAAAACGGAATGAGATTGTACGTGTTTTTCTGAGCACGTACAAGTTGAAAAAGAACGCTGACGTAATATTTAACGTGTTTTTACAATATTTATTTAAAAAATACAGTATTCACATTAGTTTTTATAGTAAAATTAAAGAAAATAAAAAGTTCTCCTTTTATCAAAAACAGCGCGTAACATTTTTGAGATCAATTTGGCAACTCAACCTCCATATGATCAAAATAAAAATAGAATCTATAAAAATGTACTTTTAAGATTTCCAATAGTCCTTCTAATAATGTTTCTTCCAGATGTGTGCACTTTATTATATCGATGTTGACAAGATCCATGCTCCACTTGTTTATAGGACGTCAAAAAAATGTTTCTAAAGCGTAACCACTGTCTCATAGAAGCCAACTATTTAGCGTACCATTTCCTCTTTTGTTAATGCTGCCTAGGTGCACTCATATGCCAAATAAAAGCATCATGGCTGTATCTTGGTCTGCAGCTGTCAACAGCTTGCAAACACTTTGTCTTTCAGGACTTTCATTACTCTCCACAATATTTTACACATTGTTGTGCGATCAAAACTTATATTTAAATCATTTGCCACTATCCTATGAAACCCACCAACAGAGAGAAAGGCGTCTGCTAACTGGAGGCTTTCGGGAATGGCACCCTTGTGTATGAAAGGACCCACTTCTCTCAAAATATCCATAAATGCTTATTTTAACACGTTCCAGTATCATTAGAATTTTTCTGGTAGAATCCAGGGCAATTAATAAGCCAGCAGGCATATTTTTTATTAATTTTGTTTGTAAACAAATTGCAAATTCCAATGAAACATATGTTTTTTATTGAACACATTGCTTTCGAGTCGCACTTTCGCTCGAAATTGAGCACACCATTTTGCACAACATGGGAATTTAAAAAAGTATGGGAATTCAAAAACTCTCGGAACATGTCACATGGGCGAATATATGAGAACTATACCAAATTGTGGACCGATTTATCCGATTTTTAATACCGAACACTTGTACAGTATAGTAGTTAAATCGACATCCAATTTTATTCTGATCATGAATATATACACTTTACAGGGTCTTCGTTAAATATTTCAAAATGTTGAAAACGGAAAGGCCAAATTTGCACTTTTTTCATAAAAATTGCGAAATAGTGCCGGTTTGAGGAGCTATTAGAGCGGCTTCAAAATGATCCATCATTCGCAGTTGTACTTCAGACAGGAAATTCAAGGAACAATGGGATTGTTACATCCTACATAATTATGTTGATAGGGTATTATAAGTTCCATGAGTTTGTAACGCCACGATATATTAGTACTAGACCCACATCATATCGCGACTAGCGGAGTCGACCAATCCATCGTCTGACCGTTTGTTCTTTTTATAATTTGTAAACAGTGTACACATCACAGTCCATTTCCGAACAAGCACTAAATGTTTTTATACATGATCAGTTAATACTTAGGGAATGGGAATAATTAATACTTAGGGATGGAACAAATTTGTTGTGCGTTTTTTTTGTCGCTTTGGAGTCCACAATTATGACCCGAGCTTCAAGAAATTGTGCACGGAAAAGGGGATCTGTTCAACGAATAAGCATGTCAGTTTTCATAATGATCGTTCAGTAATTAGAGGGTCAACTAGACCAAAACTTCTGGGTGAAAAATAAAAATATTTTGCGTTCTATGCGTTTCTATTGACCGCCGAAGAACATAGATCGAAGAAGTTGATAGCTGTTTAGTATTACGATTACCACACAGAAGTTGTTTAATATTACGATTAACACACGGTTGGAAATCTCGCTCTGATCCGTTTGAAATTTTACCTGTAGTTCCGGTTATGGTCACGGACAACGCCTATAATTTCAGATGACATTTAGGGGATGAAATGGACCGATTTTTTTTTGACGCTCTAGAGGTCACTATCATAAGACGAACACCACACATTTTACACGGGGAAGGGTATCTGGGTAACTAAGTTAAATTGCTGTTGAATAGGGGTCGGTCAATATTTAGAGAATCAAATTAAAAAAAAGATTTTTTGTGCATAAAATAACAAAATTTTAATATTATGGTCCAAATGTTTACTCTACGAAAACATGATTGGGAAAATATGTCATTGTATAAACGTTGAGCTGTTGATTACTAAACGGCCAAGAGGGTGAAAATATCGCGAAATATTGCCCAGGTTGGGAAAGTAGATACGCAGAATGCTTGAGTTCAGTGATAGCTGTGAAGGGTGTCATATGGTCGACTCGTCCGACAATACTGATCCGCTAATTGGTTTTAAATTCGATTGGCCCATTAACTATAGCGATGCATGGGAAAGGCGTCTAATTTAGGGTAATTCTTTTTAGATTCCCTCTTTCAAATTGGAGGAGATGCGCACAAGACCGACGCGCTTGAGACTATTTTTTAAGCTCGGCTTATGGAACAACCTTTCTGTAACAAGCAAGATAATTAAATTGGGAAAATTCTTCCATTCCATGACTTCTAGAGCCTTCCATAAAATCATTGACACGAAGGTATGAATCTGAATCAGGAAATCGTAATATGGTAGTAACTTAAGACCAAATTTGATCGCGTCACATTTTATGGCTAACTTTGATATACGATTTGATACGGCTGTCTCATCGAAATATGTTTCTTTGGGCCAAATCCGTTTCACACAATTTGGAGTCGATATCGTAATATCTCTTCGAAACTTACAAGTACAAGTTCGAAGATATGAAATTTCGGCCCACTCTTTCTGGTACCACTTCCACAAAATGGAAAAACTTGTGCTAAAATTAAATTTATAATGTTAATATTTATAAATTCGAATTAATGTTCGATTTGAACAAAACTTTGTACAACCTAATATCTGTATCAAACCAAGATCAAGTCCGATGATTGGACGCATTAATCCACCTCCTTCTGGTAACTCCCTTACAAAGGGCTAATATTTTATAAACTTGTAAATTTAATATGAATCGAATTGAATAACGGATTTGATGAACATTAAATCCGAAACCTCTTTGATAAAAACATATACATTAATAAAGCGCGAACCATGGACTTAATCGACTTTTGGTAAGGTATACTTTTCATAGTTTTATTATCATAAAGGCTGGGGGTTATAAAAATGCTCCAATATGAGGAACCGAAGATCCTGTATTGAACATCTTCACTCAGACAATTGATAATGTTCAGTCAGGAGATTTTTATTGATAATAAGAAATCCAAGAACAATAATAAAAATATGTTAAATAAACCGGGCCTTTATGTGGTCCGGTTCATGGAGACGGATATCAAAGCACCTAAAAAAGAGTCGGATATCTATTAGAGGTCATGCCAAACGTTTATATGTTTTTTTTTTTGGTCTGGAAACTTTTTTATTC